GTAGTAACAAGAAGCTAGTAGGAACAAGTGCCACGCTAGTAGTAACAGGTGCCTTACTAGTAACAAAAAGCCATTAGAAACAGGCGTTGCACCTGCACATCGCCCCGGCCGCCATCGCTCCAAGCCACCGACAACTCCAACTCCCCTGCGCGGTCGCTCTGCACCAGTCGCCGCCACGCCTGGGCTACAGCTGGCAGGGGTGATCTCTGGCTGGAAGGATTCGGGGAAGTACAAACAGTCTCCGGAAGCACCCTCTTCCAAACAGAATTCAAAGACCCTCTTTGGTTCATTGGATTTGGGGGAGCCCTGTTTGCAGCAAGTTACAGTAGAAAGGTGGATTTAGATGGATTTAGTACGAGCCTAGGATTGGGATCATTGGAGATGCTTGAAAAATCCTGACCAGCCAAAATACGGTTGGCGGCTGGACCCCTCAAAACCACATAATTAACCCATCCCGTCCCACCCTGACCAAATTAATATATGGACTGGGACTTGACTTTTGCCCGTGAAATTACAAAACAAAACGGGGCGATTGTCATAGCAACTGCTGCAACGGGGGCGATATGGGGCGATTGTCATAGCAACTGCTGCAGTAGCAAATGCTGCAGAACACATTGATAAAAGCGAGACACCATCACCTGCCAACCTAGGTTGGCAAAATAAATAAACAATCTTTGGACACGCCCAAATGCTAGTGGCTACCAGGCCGGATGTACAATCCCAAAAAGGTTTTGAAGGAATCGTTTCCGATGCAAGATTGATACTTCACTAATCATACTACATGATTGATTGATTGGCTGGTTGATTGATTGGTTGATCTCGATTGATTGATTGATGCTTCTTAATCTACCATTGTCCCTCCAAGGCCACCCTGGCCAACTCGTCGCTCTCGTCGCCATCCAAGCTGCATGCCAGCAGCGATCCAAGCGTGAGGCCACAGAAGGGGCCAAAGCCGGAGGCAAATGATCTTCACCTGGGACGCGAGCCATCCAGGGTCGCAAGGGATCTCAGTGTCTGACAGACCTCACCTGCATGCGCTTGAATTATCATGACTTCATTGAGTGATTGGGAATCCTCAAGAGGTCCCAGGGATGATCCAAGTCAACGGGCTTTCCCCTACCTTTCAAGAATCAAAGGGCACAGGGTCATACCTGGGATTCTTAAGTGTCTAGTGTCTAGGATGATGTGCTGAGGTGATATGTAATCGCTAGAAGTCCAGTTCGACAATCTGAGTACAGTATTTTAACCCCCTGAAGTTGGTAGATTGTAGGAACTTCCTCGGCCTCTCGGGTCACCGACCCTCTCGACTCCCCAGGGATGGCTGCCGATGGTACCACCTTCAAGATTCGATGCGACTCCTGCTGTATGCTGCTGTTGTTTTTGGCTTCCTGAACATCCGACTCGTCAGCGGAGCCCTGAAACTGAGTGAACGGATGCCTCAACTTGGTGCGGGCTCCCGCCACGAGAGCCAGAATCTTGCACATAGTATATATATATAGAGTATATGATGTATATGAATATGTTGTGTAAATATACAGTTTAATAAAGCCTACTCCCATGATAAATAAAGCAGGGCCATCCAGATTGCTGGACGTGACCGTCGGGTTGGACGTGACCGTCGGATTCAATGCGACGTTCACCAGGAGAAGTCGATTCAATCCGCGGCTCATTGAAACGGTCGAAGGGAACGCACAGTTGAAGGTGAGTCCGATCATGGGTGAGATGAACTGGTGGTGACTGTGCGGCAAGAACTTCCTGCTGTGAGGCCAATCAAACCGACGCCTTGACCCCGAACAACGGGGTAGCTGCGATGATGATGGTTGTTTGGCTATGCCGGCGCACATGTCACATGGGCTTGTGGTTGGTCTGGTTTGGGCTTGTGCGGCTCTAGTGGGACAGTTTTGGTGAAGCAATTCTCGAATGTTTCTGGTCGTCGAAGTCCCCGTCACACCTGAACCAAGAATCGAATTCCAAACCCTCTGACTCGAATGCAACCATTTTGGGCAGGCGATGCTGGCGGGGTGCGGTCTGGTACTTTCCCTGTTGTGTGGGCATTGGAATGGTTGAAATGAACCTGTTGAGGCTAAATGTGAAGGATTTCTTGAAGAAATTGATTGGACATCGGGAAGCGAAGCAACGGGAACACAACTGTTTTGGTCAGCCGTACAGCAAGAAAAGGTTGTGTTCGGTCAAATGCCGGCTTTTGCCAAGCAAACCATAAACATGAAGTCAAAGCTGCTCAAGCCTGTGCCTACACAAGTCAAAAGCTTGCTTGTTGCTTCTTTGGCAGCACTCATCAACCGCTCTGGGCAAAAATGTCGTCTTCATGGGCTCTCATTGTTCTGACTCAGTTTGACATCGCCAGTCGCATCAAACAGCGGCCACCCCCAACCGGCTCTGTACATGTGCGCCGGGGGGAGGTCTCACATGGTCTCACTCGCGAAAGGGTCGTCGGGTTCCATCACCACGAACCACTTCAAGGCCATGATTGGAGATGCTAAAGCCTGAGGTTCTGCAGTTCTGCATGGTTCGAAAAACGATCTTCACTGTGGATGTTAGGGGCCAGTTTGGGTGTTTTTCTTGTTCTGGCATGATCCTGGTCGGATTTTACCACCGTTTATCTTATCACCACCTTTCACTAATCAAACACCACCCCAACCAAGAGGGCAACGTATCTGCCTTGCTAAGCTGGTCGTGGCATGCCAACAAATCGTGTTGTTTGTTCCCAAAGAGCGAGTTCAACATCCTGAAAGCACCCCCTTGATCCCCTTGTGAATTCGAGCCTCTCGCAATGTTATATAAGGGACCCACTTCAGGGGTGCACAGAAAGTATCTTTAAAAAAATTAAAACGATCAAAACACAATGGACAATGGACAGCCGGTAAAATGTGGGCTTAAAATAGAGATCTCGATTGTGTTTTCTTATGAAATTAGGCCCATGACTCATGACGCTGGTTTACACAGAAAAGAGGAACATAATATAACACAACAATTTAATAAGAAGTTACAACACATTTTGGCAACAATTCCGTTCTTTTCCGATAATGTTCCATTTGTACATCCGATGTTTCCGACATGCCACAATAATTTCGCAAGAACAAAAACAAATGCTGCACAGACATCAAAATTCCAGAAGTGAAATAATTTTGATTGTTCTTTCATGTGTTTTTTTTGTTTTTTTTAATTTCTGCTTTCACACCTACAGTATATATTCACGTCTTCTCACATGTTCGACGGTCTCTTCTCTATAAGATTGATGTGTTTTTCTCTCCAAAATTGGGGCACCCACCAGCACCCACCCTACTCGTCTTTGATCGATCGACTTTACTCCTCCACGGTATCTATGTATCCTATTGTATCCTTATGAAATCAGGACTGACATCAAAGTTTTTTGAAAATCAAGAAAAAACGCCAATTTTTATGCTTACTGAGGGGATGGATTTCAGTTCGTTTTTTGTTTTACAAGTCTGAACCTTGTATTTCCGGTATTTCTATAACATGGGTGTCTGAACATGTACTTGAACATGTCTGAACATTGGCGTCCCTCAACTTTGACGGTGCCCTTTCATTTTGTGTTTGAGAAGCCATGTGCCGGGTTCTCGCAATGCTCCGCCACTGCCACTATGATCTCCTCCGAGGGGTCGACCAAAATCGTCTCCACGACCACCGTCTTGGCCGCGTCGGTGATCATGCGACCCCAGGTAGAGGGCGACAACCACGCGAGTGGGTTGGCCTGGATGGTTTTGATTCCCGGTTTGCTACCAAGTGGCGCTCAGCTGCCGAATGGATGAGGAACGGACATGAACGGACAGAATATTTGCAAAACCCAACTTGCCTGGCCTTGGGGGATCATGCACTTGGGGGACTGGTGAGTGGTTGATCATGTTTTGTCCATGATGGAGTGGCCATTCTTCGCAGAAAATTTCTTTATTCGTCGCGGCCTCATCACAAAGCATGGTCCTAAAGCCAGGCATAGTTAACATGTTAGGGAACTACATGTAACATTGCAATTGCGTGGCTTGTTTTTGTGATGTGTATATATATATATATATTGACTGTCTGTGCGACAAACCTTGCTGAGGAATGTCCTGGAGGAGGCTTAGAATAGAGTCAGGCACAACTGTATCCAAGTCTCGTGCCAGCTACCAACACAGGGTGATGCAGCTCAGGAATGTGGTGGGGGGCGCTTTAGTTTTTGCAAAGATTTGCTCGGGATTTCCCCGAAAATGCACATCATGTGCAACCATCGCAGTTTGTGGGTTGGGAAGGGCAATCCTGTACTGCACGCACTGTCAGAGCTGCGCAATGGGACAGGAATCGGAGAATCCATTATGCACTGTGTGAGGGCTGGGCCGTTCGTCTGTGACAGTGGAGACATGTGTCTAGTCCAGTTCAGCCAGGCCCTGCCAAACGATGGCCTGCTCAGGCTCACAGGCCCTGCCCTGTACATGAAAACAATCGCTATAGATCTCTCGCGACACATCGCTGTTTATGCGAACCTCATCGTGGATCTTTCGTGGACGGTTTGGACAGCCCGAGCAGCTAGCCGCTGCAAATGAGAAAAAACACCAACTTACACGCGCACTAGCGTTGTTGCTATGCGGGAGACACATCCTGAAAGTAAACGGAACAACCCCACCCACTTGGGCCTTAAGGAGAGCTGCTACTTACTGTGCTGATCCTCCGAGTGGCAGGATGGCTGAAGAAATCGGGCCACCAAACAGACCGCTCATCACCTCAATTTGGCAAACAAACATGTGTTGTATGGGCAGCTCACCTGGAGTAGCTGTCCTTCTGAATTGCAGGAACAAGTCGCAGGAGAGACAAACACGCCAAACAAACCCATCGGTCTAAATCTTGGAGCTGAGGGATTTAGAGCCGAAGGCACCAGGTGCCAGTTTGAAGCACATGTTCGGATGCTTGGCGACGGCTACATCCAGTTGCTTCACAAATTCGGCCATCACCTCTGCTGGCCAAATCCGCCATGTGGGCCATGTGGAAGAGGGATACAACAGTGTTACAACAGCCTACAAAAGTTATAAGTTACCCATTGTTGGTTATAGTTTACCCAAGAAAAGGTTTTGACCAGAGTTCTGCGACGCCTGCTTCTCAGCATGCTCAGCAACAATATGTTCACTGAGGTGTGCCACACCCGCAGCCGCCCCAGCTGCACCAGCCGCCATGGTCGCAGCGGCTGCACGGATTGCAACCACTGCTTGGCTCACCGAAGATGCCCCTTTGGCTGCGTTTGCCACCACCTGGCGGTGGCGTGGGCAAGATCTGGAAGTTCATGGACAATATGTATGGCTAGATATGGCTAGAAAGGCTCATATGACAAAGCTTTGTGATGTGCAATTATTTCTTCTCAGCAATGCATTGCAAAGTTCCGGCCTTTTGGCCCCAAAACTGGGTCCGTTTTCTGGCCTCCAAATCTGTTTTCTCCGAAAGCTACCGCCCTGATCCAGCTTTTTGGCACAGCTTTTTGGGACGGGCCACGGTGCCGCCAATTCCTAACGGTATAAATTGGACCACGGTGGGATCTGGTATACTTATGATTCCTTCATATGCTTTCCGCTGATTTGTGGCCTGCGTCGGATAACCACCACATGTTTTGGAGTCCGACACCCACAAGGTACTCAATTGGTGCGATATCAGGGGCCCTCCACACGGAAGCTTCAATTCGCAAGGTTCTAGGGCCTTGTTTGTTGACCTCAGCATCTCCTGTACTGCAAGCCCGCGCAAACACATGATATCATTACACAGCACCACGGGCAGCAATCGGAAGCAGCCTGATATCAGGCACCGCTGGGAAACTGCAGGTGTGAGGACAGAGCCAACAACACCAACGCCCTTCATCAAAAACATTGCCTATTCCGCCCGTTCGTTGGTTCATGTGAAATCCCCACCATTGAACAACTTGGTCAATCCAAAGCGGGGTGAACGGCCAACTCTTGCAAAATACCACGCCACGGCTTAGGGGCCACAACCACCAAAGGCGAGGACATTACTGTAAATGCAACAAAATACAACGACTTTTGAGGCCACGCCCGGGGGCAACCGGCACGGCCTTTCCTGTACATAGAAACGTTTTTGGGACCACAGGCTTGTCCATCCCAGTAAATGCTACGACGGTACGACCTGACATGAGCGGAATTGCATGGAATTGCGCAAGGAAGAGGCTCATTTTGCTCGCCACAAAACCATTGAACACTTTGTTTCGAGTTTAATATGGTCGGCCTCCGGGCTTTACATCCCAAATACAATTCACGAATTCTCGGACTCCAACCTGCGTTGCTTGTGATAGTTCTGACACCGACGCCACCGTTGACGCAGTTGACCAGGACCTCGCCAACGTGGCTGTGGAGGCCCCTGCTTCAACCACTGCAGGGCCCCGCGCCACAGCGGCCACAATTCCACCCACCACCTTGCAAACACAGCTGCCCAGCCAGCAATGTAGACTGCTGATAAATATGTAAAATATATAGATTTAACTACAACACAATAACCACCACCCACTTGAAAAGGTTTTGCAACTCCAACAGCCTAAATTGACCAATAACCCACCTGCAAACTGCAAACTATGTAATTGATATGGACCCCCTCCACCAAGGTTTGACGGTCGAACTGCGAATTCAGTCATCAGAGCATCCAGAGCATGCGAATTCCCTTCCCATGAGCTTACCATGTCGGATGGATTCACCCACTGGGAAAACTCATCAATTTGGGCGAAGAAAACCAGGCCACCAAGGTGAGGATGGCGGTGGTGAGGTCCACAGTGACCCAGTGACCATTGGGCCGGACGAGGATGTAGGCCTGCTTTGCGTTGAGAAACTCGCCGAACGACAAAAGGAACGCACTGGTCTAAAGAGTTGAAACGTGTTTAGGATTTAAACCAGCACTTGCAAAAGGGCTGCAGTGAAGTCGCATGTACAAAATGTACAATCAAACCGTACTCTCTATGATGCTAGTGATGTTATACTCCTGTACAATGATCCCTATGAAAAATGGTTCGCATATATATATATATATAAATATCATATAATATCAATTAATATCATATAATAGAAAGGGACAGCCCGCGTTCCGCTCCCTGATTGAAAGGAATAAATGGTCTGCTGTAAGCAGGTTGGGTCCTGAAACTCTTTGCAAATCGAAAGCGGCCGAGAAAAGAGTGACCGAGTGACCAAATGCACGGCCAAGATTCATCCAACAAAGTGTCATTGCGGATATCCAGGTTGGAAAGGATGCCCTTCTCCTTGGGATTTGCCCATCCGAGGCCCCCAACATGTCGTTACCCGTTTCAAATTCTGATGGGCGACCATATGAACTGGCAACGTCACTTCGGCTTCCAAGTCTCCATCTTAAAGGGCCTGGCGAGGCCATCGGCTGCTGCCGGGATTAGAAGGCCTTCTGCGAGGGTCTTCGCTGCTCTCCATTCCCAATTCTTGCCTCCTGTGGCAAAATCTGTGGTGAAACCGTGTTTCTCTGTATCGTTGAGCTTCGTCCTGAGGTATTCCATCAATGTAGTTGCCCGGCGACCCTTCCTCGGTATAAAGTTAAACATAGTTAAACTATTTGTTGATGAAGGTGTGGTTACTGTAGCACCCATCCAAACATCCAAACAAAAAGGAGTCCACCAAGCTTCTCAAACCCTTTCGCCAACTCCCTCAGGATCTTCTGCGACTTAGGCATCCTGTGGGTGGTCACTTCCAGGAAGGTTTGCTTCCCCTCTCCTGCGCTGAGGTCTGCTGCCATGGCAACATCCTGATTGGCATAAATAAAGGCTTGGATATCAGCATCTGCCATCACACTGGCGTAGGACTTGCGACCCTCCTGAATTCAAGAAATCACGGGGTTGGCCATCTTCAGAACATGTCCCCCATACCATGGACTGGCAAAATATGGAGGGTTTCCTGTAGAACATCCCTTTCAACATGTGATAACATGTGTATACAATTCTGGTGAATTTCTAGCTCTGAACTCAGTCCTGGTAATTCCACAGGCCATCATGACGGCGGCCCCGCTGCGCTGCATACATGGCCGGCTTGGCCCGTGCCGGGGTCGCCTGACAATCAAAGCGAGCATTGGCTGTCCTCGCATCCCGGTCAAGTGCAGGGAGCACAGTGCCACCACCTGCACAATCGAGCACACCCCAGCCGTGAGCAGTATATAGTTGCCATAGCCACCCTAAAACCCAACCCAAATCCTCGAAACTGGCGCCAGTTTCGCCCATGACTTCCGAACCACGGCGCGGCGCCTCGGAAAGCTGAGAATCGCCTAAACATGCGGTAAGCCGAAACATGGTCATCTATCTAACGAGGGTATATCCTATTCTGCCAGCTGCCAGTGAGTGATGGTTAGGTTGCAGGTCTTTCTCAAACATCGTGATCATCTTTGACTGTCACTGGTACTGGGGCTACACTGCTACACCCTAATCTAAACCAGCTTCTGCCATCTTCTGCACTGCCCTTGCCTTGAATGAAGATGTTCCCATCGTGTGCACGGAGTCTCTTGTGGAAGTCCACTCGCCGTGTCTTGGTGGCGCTGCTTTCTTCCGTCAAGCCTGGGTCATGCCTGACCTGCACAGACCACAGTACCACAAGCCAATGTTGGCCTCCTTCATCCTTCTCCACCAGAATGCGATACGGCAGCGGCACGAGCGGCATGGTCCGTTTTTCGGTGAGCTTAAGCTCCTTGGTTGCGATGCAGCCCTTCACCCTGTGCTGGGTCTAGACTGCAGCTTGAGCCTGACAAGAGGGAAATCTTGAGCATTGTGTGGATGAAATCATGTTTTGCCGGAAAAACACAGCATTTGGCCGTTTTTCCGTCCCACAATGTTGAAGCAAACCCCAGCTCGACTAGTTGTGCCATCTCATTGTAACATCTCACACACCCCTCCTCAACTTGAAACGCATCAACAAAGATGGTTCCATTGCCTGGAGGGTTCGAGAAGTACCACATGACCTGTGTTCTCCCACGGCACAAACACCAGAAGGTGCGTCATTCTAGGTCGATCCTGAGACCGTTCGAACGACTGCTCAACCCATGTTCCGTGCCAAAACGCCAAAGCATCGCGCATTCCCCCATGGAGGGGATGGCATGGCCATCCCACCAACAATAAGTTTGGAACACAAGCCCTCCTTTTAGGAAGGGCGAGTGCTGGGCTGTGCTGGTTCCCTCCTCAAATGACATCAGTAAAAGAGTGCCTATAGTAGATCAGATTACAAACATGCAGCTTTACGGGTCATGCCTCACTTTTGCGAGTCATATATGGTCCTCGACGCTTCCTTTGGGGACCACCGTCCACCACTCCGGCGGAAAAACAGCTGCTGAAATCGGACCCAACCGATTGGGAAGCGTGGGCGTGAGCGCCTTCTTTGGGCGCTTGGGAGAGCTCTTCCGTTCGGTGGACTCCCTTAAGGAGTCCAGTCCAGGATGCCAAATCTGCTCACGGTCCTACTTGTTGACGCAAAGACTTTGCACAAATTTACATAAAATGGATAGAACATGATAGAAGGCATATATTATATTGTGAATTGTGAACGGTGTTACGAACGGTCTGACCCATCTTCTACATTCTGCTTTGATCTTGGATAAAAGGCCGCGCCAGCTGCAGGTAGTTCAGAACCCTGCCCAAACGATCCCAGGCGGCCACTGATTACAAGGGAGCCAGAACTTCTAGGTCTGTGGCCTGTGGCTTTAGTCAACCACTGGTGAGCAGTGACCTCGTGGTTTGCTGAGTTTGAGAGTCTAACAATGTCAACGAGATTGGCCCGTTTCTTCGTTTTGGGCGAAAAGGGCTCCTTTTGGAGACCACCCGCTCCTCCCGCTCCTCCGCCCGCTCCAACTCCGCCCCGCCCCTTCGGGGGGGGGCCGGCCGCGACCCCTCGACATCACTTCAGGGCGGTCAAGATCTCTTCGCTCTTTTCGGGGGGAATGTTGTGGATCAACTCCTGGCGGAAGCAATAACTGCATCTGGATGGGCTCGGCAATAACTGCATCTGCATGTGAATTAAAAGCACCTGGAGCCTGGAGCTGCTTTACTGCCGTTGTTGTTCTTCTTCTTGTTATATATTTGTTGGAACCATTGTGAACAACATGTAGCTTTGTGATGGTGTGGATGAAAACGTTGAACAGGTGCACTGTACCAAAAGAATAAACAAACAGCACAAGACAAATAGATTAAAAAAGGAACATAAACACACAAACAAAGACAATCAAACATGACAGTCCTGAAACGTTTCATGGGGTGCAGTGCAGCAGTGAGCTTTAGAGATGATTTCATGTTGAATCTTGGTCCAATCCTCTAGACTTCACTGCCCGTACTCAGTCTAAACCGGCCATGACAAGCTGACGACGGGTCCTAGGAGGTAGCTAGGCCGCTCAGTAGCTTTGAACTGGTTGTAGGAGCGCCCGTCCGACGCTCGGAGCCAGGTCTCCTGTGCGCGCTCCTCCGCGTAGCCCAAGACGCCCAGGCCTTTCTTCAAGACGTTCACCACATCGGCTGTGGGCTTCCCTGTGTTGACCAGGCCGCGGACCGCCAGCGTCACCACGTTCCGGTAGTTGTTCTCCCCAAGCCTCGTATAAGACCTAGCCACGCGGTCTTAGGGGACGAAGCTAGTGGGTGTGGCGTGACTGACCCCGCGAAAAGCGAATAACAGCATCGATTGGTGCTTATGCTGCTAATTTGTCGCCTCTGAGTCCTCTGAGTTGTGATCAATAGTGATCCGTACCCTCATATCATGCCGATTTCAAGGCTTCTAGGTGGTAGGGTGTTCCGGCTGGCTTCGTCTGCAAACGCCACCCAGTTGCAGGCCCTGCAAGCCCTGCAGGACCCAAGTCTTTCATAAAGGGAAGCAGGTGTACACTAGTTGTATAATTAGAACGAATCAGGGTGCTGCGACGGCAATTTTGGTGCACCTTCCAGTTAGAAAGGCAGAACACATGCAAACCAATTCGCTAGGGAATATACAAAGGGACAAAAATACAAACAATACAATACAAGATCACAGGACTTGGTTTCCCCAACCAAGGTCCTAAATCCATTTCAAGCCAACAAAATGGAACCACCTTGGTGTCGCAATCAGTAAAAATTACACTATAATGAGAATCCGGAAGGAAGCACTAAAGACCATTGGGCTGTTGGGCATCCCTGTTCCAATACACTCCCAGGAACTATGGACAGGAAGTGCCCCGGAAGTTCAAAGGCAGGGCGGTGGGGAAAAAGACCCTGCTGTGGGTCTTCCTGGTGTGGCATCATTCCAGGGCCCGTGAGCGGGGGGAGGGGTCAATCAAACAAGAATAGCAGCAATAAAATCAATAAATCATGTTCGACCGGGAAACGAGAAAAGGATTTTTAAAAAAAAGCATTCCCCGTGAGCAATGACATGAAAAAGAGACTAGGGAAAGGACAACAGCAGCAGGGCAACCAGGATCAGGCAGCCCTCGCAAAGCAAGCCAAAACACAAAAAACAACATAACGAAAGGATAGAAATGTTGGACATAGCAAAGGTGGGCCCCACAATCCACCAGCGGACAATAAGTTGATGTTTGCAAAACATAATCTAAAGGACTTAGGCATGGAGATGCGATTGAAATCAGTCGTGGCAGGCGCAGTGAGTCCCTGGAGGGCGAAGGCCGCAGCGCCTCCGGGGATAGCGCCTCCCCCGAAGAGAGAACCAAAATCAACAGCCAGAAGACTCAGAATAGAGATCATCATCCAAAAAACTACACACCCCATTGCCCCATCGAAGGGCGAAAAAAGAACGTCAGAAAGGTGACGCTTTCGGACCGTTCGGCAGGCAGGTCGCCTTATTTCAGTTTTGCCGTTCGGTCTTGGACTCCGGAATGTGGCCAGTCCCCTCGCGGTCTTGACTCTTGGACTCCCTTGGATCCTGGGTCGCGAAAAGCTTAGGTGTCCCCGGGCCTCTCCCGCTCCCCCGAGCTCGCTCGCCGCCCTGCTGCGCCCGAGCTGCATGGGACGGAGCTGGGACTCGATGAGGCCACAGACCTGGCTTTTCGGTCGTGCGAAGGCAACCCTATGGGGCTCCAACCGCCTCCTGAGAAGGTGGTTAGGGTGGGTTTTTGGGGTCTAACCACCTTAAGAGGATATGGTTGGAGGGAAAGATCAGTGATTGTGGGAACCAAATCGACCACCCTCTTGGATGCCAAATCCTCGTGGACTCGGTTGGTTGGGTTGAGCATCTGACTGTATGACTGTACGGTCTCCTGTTCTCCAAGTTCTGGTGGAAGAAATGGCACATCCACCCAGACCCACACGGGTCACAACATCATCAACTCAAGCCGCTCCCAGCCGACAAAGAACCAGCTCTCTGACAAAGATATATCGGTCTGAAAGAACATATGACAGTGCTGAATGTCCATTCGAGACCCTGCCACACACCTGCCCTACCCTACCCTCCAATTGAACATATGTCCAAGATCTTGGATTTGGGCTTCTTGGCGAAGCTCCCAAGGATTTCCAGCTCATGGGCTCTGTTCTTCGTTTCGTTCGGCCACTGCCACGCAGCTGTGCAACACACCAACCCCTAAACACACCAACAGCGAACGACTCACAAAATGACCTTTGCCCAATGCACTTGTCAAACCACCTGTTGCTGAAATGGCTTGGCACTGCGCCCACCAAAACAAAATTAAGAAAAGGCCACTGAGGCCACAGCTAAGTCCAAAATATATATCTTGACCGCAAACCGACCAATGTGGTCGCATCGGCGAAGGAAAAAAAGAAACCGAGAGACGCGCCGAGCATCCCGGGCCTTCTCCCAATCCTCCTTCACATGGGCATCCCATAGGACATGGTGCTCTGATATGAAGTCATGGCAAAGGCCTTCCTCATCATCTGAGGCCCAAGGCTTCAGAACTTCAAATTTCCTTGCAACTGAAGCGAGCAGCTGTGAAAGGTGTTTGCACACGTGGGATCGAAATCGGCTGATGGATTTGAAGTTGCTAGTAATTGGTTTGTAGGTACCCCTTGCCATCAGGCAGTACTCAGCACACATGAATTTCAGGAAACCAAGAAAAATCATTATGACTGAACGTCTCTACGTCGGAATCCATGCTGGCGAACAGTGAAACCTCAACTTTCGCGGTGCCCCATCTCGCCAGGAGCTGATGTAAGTCCCCAGAAATGCTTCAGTTTCCTGGTGGGTTCTTGTCACCTTGGCAGCACCGCGCACGAAAAGTCTGATGGGGATTGATGGGGGACCCCCATACGGGTCGAAAGGAACAGCTGCAATTCAGCTCTTCCCTGGCTTGCGTGGGTGAAGCATGGCTTCACCCCCCCCTGTGCGTGCCAGGCTGGCTGCGAACCCCCCGGTGACCACATACTCACCTAGATTGAGCCAGTTCTTAGGGTCGATTGTGAGTCATCCGAGACTCTCAGCCTTGGACTACTTGCTTCAGGACACCATCCCGGATTAACTCCAACTACCTAACCTGAGGATATAGCCCTAGGGCATGGACATGGACAAGCAAGTGAGTGGTGGACAAAAGCAAGGTCCTAAGGATTTGCCTACCGCCGCACTCATCCGCACTCCTGAAACTTAGGCTGACGTGCGCCGAGGGTTTCCATGAAAGCTTACGTAAGGCGTACGAGCAAAGGATTTTGCACAAGACCGCAGTTGGCAGTGTGAGCTTACACCTTGCAATTTAATGCAAACATATCATAATATGTTATTTTTTCTCCACGATGGGGTCACAAAAGTCAGGGTGCTAAACGATTCACTTAATTACCGAAAAAATAATGAGCTTGAGCCCTCCGATTAATTCCTATCCCTTGTCAAGCTTGTCATCCAACAAGTCACCAACAATCTCAGTACGGGAGCATGTGAGCATCTATGTGTGGTGTCAAAGTCTATACTGGAATGCAGCTCGTACGGCCCTTGCACACAAACAAGAGCTTACGCACAGGAATGAATACAAACATGCTTACGCAACCTTACAACTCAGGGCCCATTAGATTGATTTAGATTGCATTGTCTAGCCTGATGTCAGAGCCCTGACCCATCCTGACCCCCAAAGAAAAACCTAGTACCTAAGGAGGTTTTGAACGCTGCTCAGGTGATTTCAATCCGGATCTTCCGCAGGGAAAGCCTCACCTCCACCACTCGAAGGCGTTCCTTTGGGTGAGTGAAAGCACCATACAGGACCATAGCAGGATGCAAAAAGTGGTTGAACCTCGCCACTCCTGTTTTGGGCCCGAACATCAAACCCCGATGAAGAAGCCGAAAAAAAACGAGCGTCTTGGGATGGGCGTTGAGCAAATCTGCGAAGGTGCTCAAGGGCCATCCCGTGAGAGCCATCCTCAAACGGGACGGACGGGCCAGATGCTTGTCCGGTGGTATATGAATGGCCTAGTGCTGCAAAATGCCGTTCCTTTGGTTGGCAGAAATGGCACTCATCCTACCAGTATCTAGCAGTGCCCACTCCCCAAAGCGACGCAACCACGATCAGTATCGTAACTGTATTCGTGGACCATAGCTTGGGCATCTCCACAAAGAGTGGAATCCTGGTGGCGATGGCTGGTAGGGACCTGCATCAAATTGCATCAACAATACGACAAGAAAGAGGGCAAAACATTGAAACACACACATATATATATATAATACACATATATAATGTATATATATATATATATATGTATGTCATTCTGTGCCTTTGCATATGTAGATATACACACGTGCCACACTGCATAACTATTGGAGTCATGTAGACTTAGACTCTTGATTCCTAAAACCCCAATTGACAGTGCCACTTTACAAACCAGCCTTTTAGAGGGGTACTGCGCTTGATTTGGGCGAAACTGGCTGCCTCAGTTGGAGAACATGTGGGGTGCTCATGATCTTGAATTGTCTTGAAGCCTTGGGCCTCCGAGTCAGCGTGCCGCTCGAGAAGCTTGACTTGAACCCCCAATTCTGGAATCGAGCGATCTCAATGCCTCCATGAAACCCCTCAGTGACCAAGGCCACAGCTTCGTCGACATCCTCACGGCGCGTAGCGAGGGCGAGGGCGCGGCGCGACGCGACTTCGAGTCACTATACCCAGACACTCCATGTCTGTCATATATGCCTACATTGACCCCTCAAACTACCCCAATGTAGGTAAATATGCCATACATGGAGTGTCTGGGATATAATCACTGTCTGAAACGCTGGTGTGGGGCCCTGGTGAGGAGTTGACATCTAGGGGCCCGCCATCGTATGGTGCGCTGTTTGTCGAGGAAAGTAACGATCATTTTAGGTTCATATTCGACGTGCATGAATGAATTAGGGCAAGCGGTTTGGGTCGCTTGAACTACTATATGTTGGATTTGGAAAGTGCTAGGTGACTCAGAAGGCAAATTTGGGCGTCACGTTTTCAAACTTGCTCAGGGAGTTGACCTAATTTGGTTGAGATTAGGGTCAACTAAGCAGACCTTTCCCAGTTCGTCGTTGTGAACTGTGCCGAACTAAATTAGACCTTCAACCGACCAAACGACATCGCTCATGATATCACCGGCGTGGCTAACGGCAGCAGTTTCGGTCTATCCTAATACCTGTAAGAGTGGATGATGATGGTTATGTTGCAGGCCTTGTTCCAAAAATAGTGATTTGCTTGTGAAACCGGCTCCTGTTACAGGTCCAGTAATAGGACGAACGACCCCAGGACCTAGGAGAGATCGTATGGAAGACTTCACTCTACTTCGATTGCAACGCCGATTGCACCTCCAACGGGCCGTTCGTTCCGGCGCTCCGTTCGTCTGTCACACGTGGTCCCTCACCGGCTCTCCTTGGGGCTGGCCCGACCGTTGCCAATGGCTGCGAAGGACATATGGTAACCTCGTGAGATCGACGCACGAGCGTGAGGTGGACAGGACGCCAAAACTCAGGTCGTGGCACATGACTCAACATTACTTCCTCTTTGAGGCCTAATTCAGCACATAGCAAGCCAGGTAGGAAGGGTAGGGTGTTTGGCTTGCTGAGGAGGTATTTGGATGCATGCATTGTTTAATTCTTTTCGAAGGGGGGAGCTTTACATGTAATTATCAAATACCTATAGCATGAAAAACACTGCAAAATGCGGCAAAGTCGAAGGCTCCTCCAAGTCTCCTGCGTGTGTCCCCCCAGTGTCGATGGAAAATAGAGGTTATAACTGAACAAACTCCACCTCTTCGCATTTCCAAAGCCAAAGATCTATGGTCGTTGGCCGCTTCGCGGACACTCTCGTCGCCACGGAACAACACGAACAAAGACAGGTCCAGGTTAATTAAAAATGGTATAAATGAATTCAGCATCACAAGTGTTTCGTGGGGTATCACTGATCCCCCCAAAAGGCAAAAACAGGTTATCCACTGCCAGGGTGGGACAAACATTTGCCCCCAACAACCCGAGTTCTGCCTTCGCAACCGCTGAATGCATCACAGTGATGCTGGCCAACCAGAAATAGCAAGGACACTTCCACCAAACCATATCAAACCATGTCCAAGTCTGCCCCATCCAGATGCTTGTAAACTTAAACGGTAGTAGAGTGACCTCAAGATTCAAGACATCTGAAGGAGGCGCTAGGCCACTGCACAGCGGACTTCTGAAACGAAACACCCCACCCCATGGTGGGAAGAAGCAAGAGTCCTAGGAGGTCTTTGCGACTTCATCATCCCAGGTTGAAGGTTGAACATCAAACCCCATACCAGCACCAGCACCCGACTTCACAGGTCACCAATTGAACCCTCTTGGGGCCGTTCCCAACCCTCCATTTCGGAGACCTGCATGTTGGAGGGTTTCTCCCCCAACGTTCGCTCGCCTGTTGGTGGATCCTACTGCTCCTACCGCTGACCGTGCCGACGCCCCTCCGCGTCGCCCACCACAGCGCCACGTGGCAGTTCCGGAAGTTTGCATCGCCGAGGCGTGCGCGAGCCGCCGCCGTCACCTGCGGCGTGGCGTGGCATCGAATGGGGGTGTTGAAAAACCCGGAGGAGCTCCGTCAATCACTGCTGAGGGAGTGTTGAAACTGGGACTCCCTTTGTCAAGAGCAGCTGTAGCTTCACTGACTCTAGCAGGTGACCGGCTGGAAATCAATGGAGCATGCACCTGAACCGAACAAAATCCTTGACAAGACCCTATTATATATTAAGGTTGTCAGTGCTGCAAAATGCGTGCGCGAGCGTCCGGCTCTGCCTGTGTCTCCACGTGCTCCAAGACTTCCTGCCAGTCCTGGTGATGAGGGGCAGTGGCCAAATGGGTAGAGGACCTGAGTTTCGCCTAGGTGGGGCTTGCCAGTGATCAGAATATGTTTGAAAAATATCCTGATTCCAACCAAGTCTGGCAACTTCCGGGCTTGTGTGGGGATGGTGAGGCAGTCCATCCATGTCAATCCTAAGTGCGCACCAAAAAGGAAACACATGATCTCGCAACATCCGCTGGTCCTTCTGCTGGAAGGCATCCCACATCTGATGATGATCATCAATGATGCTGATGGCCTGAAAAGGCAGTGAAGTTTACAAAGATATTGCAGCAACTGGTAATCTAGCGGATGAGACGGGGGAACAAACATGTTTTTGATGAAGGGCGCGGGTGTTGATAGATGCGCTAATACCTTCTGCCAGGGATGAGTTGATTCTTCCAGACCATCACGGTCACTGCCTATACCAATACTCATTCCCCTGTCAAGTCCCATGAGAGCTTTGTGCTCACAGCTTGCTCTGGACTATGTCAGCTGTCAGCGCAGCACGTTTCGAACCACATATTAACATATATGATTACACGAACCCATGTGACCTCCGTTTTGATGCCTACAATACAACGATGCTTTGACTCCAAAACAGGGGTCCCTCAGGTTTATATCTTACTGGCTTCACCCGCTACATTGCTTCGGCAACTGGGTGTGTGCCGAATTGAAAGGAAACTCGATGAAACTACCACCTCGGCCGCAGTGGTCGCAGCATCTGGTCAGGAGGTGGGTGCCCCTCATGAGTGGAAGCCACCTGCCACAGGTGGGCCCCCGAAGTCTACCTGCGGTCTTTGGAACAGTTGGCAACCTCTAGGTTACACTGCAGGGAGAACTCTTCAAGTCCATTTCCAGAGAACCCAACCCGTCCATAGACCCAAATACCATGCTTAGGCTTATGCAAAGCAGTGTCGTGCCATACTGCTGGACTCCTGGCAATGTCCATCGAACATACCCCAAAAAGTCTCTTCACCCAGTGGCCGCAGTCTTCTTCTTGGGAGGCTTCTTAGGCTTCTCCTTGATCGAAGTTTCCTTGGTCGATGGATGACTATCGCGACAACAGGAAACAACTGGGGCGCAGGAAAGACTGCACAATGGCACCCTCTTTCAGGCAAATCCCCGCAAGCGCGCTGCTCAAGTCATGACTTCCGCTGCCAAAGGTCCTGTAAATTGTGTACATGTTGTTGGTACCTCGAAGTCCCATCATCTCTTGGCAACATTTCACCTTCAGCCATCCATCTGCCTGCACTTTCTTTTGGGTGCCCGGTGCTCAAAAAGAAAAACCAATCTCCCGAAAGGGTGTACAGGATGCACTCCATCCAACAGAACAAAGACATTTAATAGTTATTGGGAACATACACATTTGTAGGGCCCAGGGGCAAAGTAGCCTTCCAAACCCAAAGTTCCACCATGTTCCACCAATCTAACGCGGCTAAAGCTCGCGTCCATTGTACAGTTCCAACAGTTTGTCCTTCTGTTCTGGCGTGACGTGGATGAGTTCGCCCACGTTCTCATCAGGAAGCTCCAAGACATCCATGCCTTTCCTGAGCATGTCTTTGGTTTGGAAGTGCAGGCCCAGCAACCCCTTCACAAGATTTGTAAAGCTAACCTGACCTTTGATATCCTTTGATGAAACAATATTAAACACAACACAGCTCACGCAATGTGAGCAAATGCATCAGAAAACATATACAAAATTGAAACCCGGTTCGCGGCTGTTGCAAAAGTGCCATATGGTTGCCAGAGTGAATGTCGAATTTGCAACAGACCTGGCAAATCCTGTTGTGGCGCCGTCCCAGGGTCGAAGAAACTATCAGGGACCTTACACCATTTGTGGGCCATGCGAGGGTCAAGTTTCAAGCAAGCACGAGCTGTTCCAGCCTTACAGCCTTACACATTCGTTTGTGGGCCAATCCAGGGTAAATTTTCGAGCACCAACAAACCAGTCCAACCATACATGCCCTATAGCGTGAACCACCCGGCCGTTCAGCCCCTCGGATATTGCACATGTTTTGCGGCAAAGCAAAAATCCTTATGATGCGTTCATCTCCTGAAACATTTTGTGTTTATCCTTACCCCTTTAAACATCACTACCCTCACCTTCCATGATGGGGGTCGCGCGTAGGAAAACAAATAACCTCATAAGCCCCCTGATATCTTTAACATTCTTCAACAATTGGCAAAGCCAGAGCTAAGGATAGCATGTGTGGCACGGGAGAGTGGGTGGGCGGGGGAGGGCTGGGCACCTCCCCCCCATGAGCACGGCTTTGAAAAGAGTGGGGACAGTGTGACCCGAACGGACCGCGGCTGTAAGAGGCAAAGAAGACTAGAGGCTCTAACAAAAGAGATGAAATATGATGAAACATATCATTTACGACGACGACGACGACGAAAGCTGTGATGATGTGAGATGTGACAATGATTGTCATGTTGACAATGACGATGCAATGATGAAAACAAACATGCTGAATGATTGTTTTTGTTATGATGGTGGTGATGGTGATGGAAATGATGATTACAATGACTGACGATGACGGTGGTGGTGATGATGATGACGACGACGACGACCATGATGTGAAAGCGTACGTGTCTGCATCATGACGATCTCCAAATTCTGGGAAAGCCTCACATACGCTATATGCATACTAGGGCACCGCTAGGGGTTGCAGAGTGTGCCCATAAAAATTGCACAAAAGGATACAAAAGGGTACTCCGATGGGAAAGTTGTTGCTCACATTGGGCCAATCAGGTGGCTAATCAGAGTGTGGACCTCATGCGCCTCATCTGTCCTGCACGTCGCGTCGAAAACCTGCAACCGGCGAACGGACTGAGTCCGACCCAACCCAACTCACTCCGAGCGAAGTGCATCGATTTTTGCTTTAGCGAGCATCCATCATAAGCATCCCAGATCACCAACGTAAGAAGGGCACGAAAGGGGACCAAGAAGATCGGGGACCAAGGGAAGGGGGCACCAGGGAACCAAAGGTTTGTGTGTTGACACTTCACTAAATAATGTGTTTGTTGGAATCCTAGCATCGTTTTAGGTGGCTACCCCTGCACAGTTAGGGCCGAGTGAAATTTACACAAAAAATCACAAAAATATAAGATATATAAGCACATCACGGAAGTTAAACACCTTGGAGGACTTCAATGCAAACCCCCTTGACGGGACAGGCAAAACCCTGAAATTCTCATGGAAGTGGAAAACCTGTTTGTAGAGGAAAAATGAACATCCAAGGGGCAATGTGATTCCACTTCCATCATTATTTCAGGGAGTGTATTCCACAGCACCACCGCTTTACTATGGACATAGTCCCAGTGGCTCCAAAGCTTCCATTGCCTTTTCCAAAGGCTGCCCGGTTTCGCAGAGGCCCTGCACGGCCCAGATGACCACGTTGCGGTAGTTGGGCTCTCCCAGCTTCTGAAAGGCCCTCAGTGGCTGTTGGACCGTTGGAGCCCCCGACAGGAATAAAGCAATCATGCTTGGACTGCAGTGCTGGCCAAGCTCCGAACCAAGCATTGTGACACTAGCAGCATCTAGCAGCCCCCAACAGAGAACAATGTGATGGAAACATGTGGAAACTGTCTTGCGTCTTGAGGCGTCGGGCGTTCTTTGTGCTCGTGCATCACTCACTCACTCACTCACTCACTCTCTCTCTCTCTCTCTCTCAGGCTCTTGCAGGCGCCTCATCAATTTCTGACAGCAAACTTACAAACGGAACTTCCCTGTACAACGAAGGGGGGGCACGGTATCATGTTTGGATGGAAGGGACACCTCCTAGATATAGCAAAGCCAACAACAAGCAAGCATCAACCAGTGGGGTCTTCTTTCCTCTGATCTTGGGCGGGTCGAATGTTTGTCTTAGCCTAATTTCCTAATTTCAACTCACACATGTCATCTGCTTGTGTCAATGCACGTTGGTCAAAAACGTCACTCTTGTTGGTCATTTGCGGGCCCAAATCACCCGCAGTATCACCCGCTCTTCACTTCGACCACGGCCCGGCCAGGACGCCCGTCCCAAAGGACTGCCCAGCAGCATTGGCTTGAGCTGGGAGTCGATGAACTCGCAAACCTTCTCCCAGTCCTTCTTACACGCCGAGTCGTACATCCTGAAGCATGGCCATTTGCGGTTGTTGGTCTTGGGGATGTCCAGACCGCGGCCCCTTCTAAGAAGGGTGTTCGAAGTGATGTCGGCCGCAACCCTGAAGCTTTCACATGATTGCTTGCACAGTGGGTTGCTTGGATAAACAGTGGGGACCATAAAAGCCACCCCTGAACAACAAATGGACACTTTGAGACAAAGCTACATCTGGGGTCCAACACATTCTGCACACCTATGGCACAATCCATTCGGAATCATACTCTGAGGTGGCCATTCATCCGGCCTTGTCCAGTTCAACTCTGCTCTACTGTTCGGAATCCATGAAACCCCTCCCGGGATGTCTTAGTACTCCCTCAAAGGACACTGAAATCTGGCCAGGTGCTGATTAACCACCTTCTGCCTCTGTAAAGGGCATCGAGATCTTAGATGCTCCCATATGCTCCCTAGTTCACGGAGGGAGGAGCCAGGGTGGGCGATGTTTGCTTCTTTTCGTGGGGCTCCAGGGGCCCGGATTTGCGCCGCTCTTCCACTTGCAGCCCCAGCAACTGGTGGTGCTCCTTGGTTGAACAAATTGCCCCAACGGCAGCCAGCAAGCGTTGGAGGAGAAACCAAGTGTCACAATGTGTCACATCTTCCACATTCAAATGGCATTCCCCAGTCATTTCAGTGCCATTTCTTGTCCTTTCTCTAAAACACTTTGGATTGTCCAAAACGCAATCGCTCCAGAACGTCCGGCCATGCTGTTTTTTCTCAGCGGGCGAAGGGTGCCGGGTGCTTTCAAGCGAGGGGGACCATGGAAAAGTGGGGAGATGGTCAACCCTTACAGCAGGTCTGGCAGAGGTGTCCAGAGTCGAGCCTCGGATCCCTTCACATCCAGCCTTTTCAGCTTGAGCTGACCAAGCTTCCGAAATGAAGTCGTGGTAGCGTCCCTTCTCATCCTCTTCCCTGGCAGAGTTTGACCAAGCCTGCTGCCACTGCTTGTGGTTAGCCGAGCCCACCAAATAGACAAACATAACTGAACTAGTCGCCTTGAAAACATATTGGACATCATGTAATTTCGTGAAGATTCATAATGAAGATTATATAGACTGAAATGCTCATCCCGACAGGGAACACCCACCGCTGTACGCCGTCTGTCACCTTCCGCTCTCGCGCCGAACTCGCGCGCCGACCGCGAACGGGGACGGTGCCTGCCACCCCACCAGGACTTCCAGTAGTCACCAAAGGTGACCTCCGTCATTGGAACCAAGCGACGCGTCAGGCTCTGCACGTACCTCAGCGACCCGGTCAAACCGGTCGTACCGCGGGAAGCAACCGCACCAGGGTTTCCCCGTCCACACGAGGTACGTGGTTCCAAACGACATCGGTCATGCGGCTGTGGCCATGTACAGCGCGTAAGGTTGGAAGTGGTTTCGAGTCAGCGGCGCCATATTCCCAGCCACCAAAACCATCAAGAAACCGGCCCTTTTCGGGTCACTGATGAGAAAACGTCTTGACCGGCTGCCGCAGCAAAACCCATCCAACCCGTCGCCCGTTCAGGTGCCAATCGAACTCGTTCTCGCCGTGCCAATGTTCTCCTGGAAACATGTCGTTGCCTCCTGCGACGCTGCGACCGGTGACGGGGACTGGGCTCGCCGGTGCGACCGGTCCCCAAAGCCGGTTTTGGACCACTCGGTCGATGCAAAGAGGCGACACAAGAGATATTGATATCATTTTTCTGGACAGTATACGATTGTGCTGAGAGTTCTTATAGCCTTAAACATGATATAACATGATTGCAGCGCTTCTAGAAGGGGGCCGTGCGTCCGAGTGGTTTTGTTGTCTTTTGTTGGCCTCTGCTGATTGTCCCACGCTTGGGATGTTTGTTGGATTGAGTATTGTTTTTGGACGAGGTGGGAGTGCTGCAAGGGTTGCTCGGAAGCTTCGTTCTTAGGTGGAAAACGCTTCAGTTCGGAACACTGAAGCGGACAGAGTCCCAAAGGTTCGGACAAATTTGTGTCATGTTGGGTGGTGTGCATCAGCTACTTGGGAGTGCTCATTGCCCATGAGAGATGTTTCATGATTTTTCTAGAACTTCATGGGATACCGTGAAACAAGGCCTTGCTCCCATATATAGCACATCCAGACTAAGCAACAAAGTGCCAAATAGGCAAAACGGTTTGGCAACAGGTCCTCAGCTGCACTCTGAGATGGTGACTCTTCTTCCATCCTGAACTGAACCCTTGCCCCCGAAGCTCAGAACCTATCCCTGGATGGTCTCATGAACCGACTGTTCTTACAGTAAACGCATGGCACCGGCGTAGACCCCACCCCACCCAACTGACACCGCCGCAAGAGTGGCAAACAAAATGACCAGCTGAAGCTCAAAACCTCCCCCACACGCATGGGCCCCGAAGAGGGGCGCTTAATTAAACATACCAAGCACTTGCCAATGAACTGCAGACCTGAGATTGCACATATCTCAGCTCGATGCCGAAACATGTGCCTGTTTTTGTTTTTCCTCTGACAGGCCTCTAGACTCAAAAGCCATCAACAAAGAGACCACGACCAACACCCCCCAAGAAAAAGGCTCCTCGACCGGACTGCTGAAGTCGGGTTCCTGTAGCCTCTCAATCCCACCATCTCCCACCTGAAGCCTGGCAATCCTGGCAAGCCTCAAGTCGAGCTCTCATCCCAAAATGGATCCAAAGGGATATATGTGCCATGCTCAGATACGCTTTGGACCAACCCCCGGAACACCGACCGATCCGGAGCGACTGATCCGCTTCCGCTCCTTTGAACTCCTCCATCCAGTTGTCATACTGAAACATGGGGTGGTCCGACTTCCTCGATGGGCGGGACGAGTTGTTCCGCACGGAGAACACCTCCCACAAGCGATGAGTATAGTTCATGGTGGATGACTAAGTCGGGTCCTGCTCAACAGTGTTCCATTCGATGTGGAAGACATGATTTTTGCAATGTAAAAAATGAGAAGCGCGAAGGATTTTTGAAAAGCTCTTTGGGTGGGAGAGACGTGGTTCTTTGGTAAACCAATTTGCTAATACAATGCATCGTCTAACAACTGTTTGATGGTCATATAGTGGGGCCAAGAGACTATCATGAAGGCCTACCTTTGTGGGCCTTGACTACCTCTGTGGGCCTCTGTAGCTCGACCCGTGCTGGGTCCTGCGGTATAACTATATTGTTTTGTTTATATTACATAGATACTGGGGGCAGTAGCACTAATATACAGCCGTCGTAGCAGCAGTCGTCGTACAAGAAGTAAAAGATGTAGTACATAGATGTAAAATGATGCAAATAAGAATATAAGTAGTCGCCGCCGCCGTCGTTCTTGTAATCATAAATCGCTACAAAGCGTACAAAGCGGTGCTAGTGGCAGTGGTGGTAGTGGCTGTGGAGGTGGTTGTGGTCGTGGTAGTGGCATTTCTTTCGGCAAAGCACTGGTGCAAATGACTTCAAATGACATCCAAAGAATCCATGGGCTCTCAGCTCCTGGACTTTTGACTGTGAAATGCTCACCACAAAAGACGTCGGTCGCAAATGCACGTGGAATCGAACCCCAAAGCGGGTGAGCCGTGGGAAGCTGGATGAATCCCAAGCCAACACCTGGTCATGTCATAGCCATAGCAGCAAAATATCAAATGCGCACACGAATTGCAAAAGGGTTTCTGAATCATCTTTTGGTCACCATTTGGTGAAAAAACACTTCACCCAAGGAATTCTTCCTGCGTGTGAGCAGCTGTAGCGCTCAAGAGCCGGTTGCCGCGGTGCCTGCCCCTATGCCTAGTAGCTGTGCTTGTAGCTATCCAGCTTAGGTAGTGTGTGGGCATAAGCAAATGTATCGTACTTCCAAATCCGTGTCCCGCAATGTCCCGCAGTTGTGGAAAAAGAACGGGCCGTCATGTGATTGTACCAACACTTGAGTCATCCAGTCAAACACTCCATCAGCATACAACCGACTCTGTGGATAGACTGGCAGTCCTCTGCACAAAAACCAAGCAAAACCCACTTCTCCTTCTGGAGAAATCCTCGAATCCAGTACGTACCCCCCCCACCACAGTACTGTATCCAGGCTGTATTTGGGTCCTGCAGCCCAGGTTCTGGATGAGCTCCGCGAAATCGAAACGGTCTTTGAACTGCCCCCTGTGCAGCGAGCTTGTTGTTGGGGGCATCCGCCATAGCCGGGTATAGCCACTGGTATAGCCATGGTGGAGGTGGAAAGGAATGAACATGACACTTCCACACACTCACACGGTATACCCAAACACTCGACTCCATGTGTGGAATTGGAATATGTTTGCTTACATTGGGATGGCTTCACGATGGGGGTCGGGGGGTCGGGGGTACGGTCTGCACCGTGTTGTGACGCAACAAGCAGAAACCATCAAGAAAGCAAATGCGGGATCGTGTGCTCGAGACCCGAATTCAGAAAAAATACCACTTCAACCGGCCAGCGAAGCCTTGGGACTTGGGCTCTGCGGTATTCTGCGCTATTCCGCCACACTGTCCGACCACGCCATCACAAGCTGATCGGTGCCTGCCTGAGATCCGTAAAATAAAGCAATGGGCACCCTGGACCGGAACAACACCTTGCTTGGCACTCCTGACCAGCATTTCCAGGAATTCTAGGGGGTCGTCTGTGAGTCCAGTTTGTCTCTGCCTACTAGGGCCTTCGTCCACTCAAAAACGCATGGCTACCGACCCGCCGTGGTGGTGGTGGTGGTGGTGCTATTTACGCCGAGGCACTCGTACAAGTGATGCGTCTCGTGGAACATCCAAAAGACCTGGGAGCGACTCTCAACGAATCACGACCGTCGGCTCAAAGAAGACGCGGTGCACATGGAACAAAGGTGCAAAGACCCAGGAACCTGTCACTCTCACCACCCGTGAATCTAGAGCAAAAAACAGATGCCCAAGGGTTGCATAGGGTTGCAAGTCTATTGGCCGTGTTGAGTTCGAGTCGCTAGTAGACCTATTGATGGATAGAGTGTGGTCTTCCATGTCCTCCATGACAGCGATGCCATTGAACCAGGAGTATGGATCGCCCCTTGTTTGGGTCACAAGTGACTGTCCCGCCACCCTTTGGGCCGAACGGCTCGTTCGGGTGTCGCCTGGCCTTACCGGATCAATGGATCTGAAGGGAACACCCACAGGAAACCCAGGGTTTTCACCTCCCAACATCCCCGACCATCCCAAACCTGGGCTTTCCTGTAGGTTGTTTCTTGCACCACATCTGGGAAGGAACACGATCCTCGCCTCGGCTGTGGTCATGATTCAAGGCCCAAATATACCACCAAGACGAGCCACACGATGATGATGCGTCCAAGACAAGCCCTCGTCCATGTAGGCTGGCCGCCCTTTGAAGTGGCGATGGCCAATGGTGTTGGTGGCCTCAGGGTAACCAGCATCAGCCAAGGTGAACGCGATACACTCCTTAACATGGAAACGGCAAAGGGGTCCTGGCCTCTCTCTCAAAATCGCTCCCTCCCTCCATGAGAGGAGCTACAGGCTTTTCTCTTGCTCGCAGTCCAACCATTCTGGTTGTCTACCTACATGCCCCCAAAACACCACAGGTAGCGCAGGTAGTAGTCCCATAGTGTGCCTCAAATGGGACCAAAGAACTCTTGCACCAGGCGTTCCATGCTTTCCGGGCGAAACCGTCGCATGTCCTAAGTAACACGGGGATAGGGGAGTCTCCCAAGGGTCACTGGCAGGGGCCAATGAGGTTCATCAGTGTCTTTCCTCCACCCTGTTTAGATCTTACCCCTTTTGTCCAAAGGCCCAGTAAAACCTGGTCCTTTACCTCAGTGAGTAGTGCTTGTGCTTTTTTTGGGGGGGTACGGTCAACCTAAAAATTAGGTATATGAATATGTGACCTGTAGGATAAAAAAATGAGTACAGTAAATTGTTGAGCAGACATGGAAACAAATTGGCTCTAACATTGCCCTGCCCTATGAACCTTGTCTGGTGCCTCACCAGTCCAACCGGAAAAAAGAAGGAACAAACACTCACTTCATCTCTTTTCAACTGGATCTTCGTTTCCTCGTTCCTCGTCCGGGGCCCCACGTGACAAACGGAGCGGTCCCTTTGGGAGCGGCGAACTTCTTTCGAGGGACGATGCCGCCCACGGTGATAGGGATCTCTGTCTTTGGCTTTCCAGCAGGGAAGAGCAAATGGAAAGCGATGACATCTGAATCCTCGGCGTCTTGGTTCATGACTGCGGTACCTTTTTGAGGGAAGAGTACAACGGTAGGAACATGTTGGAACGGTTGATGCCCGAGTGGGAGAAGATATCCCAACCCGGGCGTTCTGCACAGATGTCTTGGTCCTCTACTTCTTGACCATCTTTCCAGAGCCTCATTTAGAATCTTACTTCTTTCCAGAATCTTCTGCACAAATGTCTTGGTCCTCTGACCATGATCTTGCCATCTTTGCAGCATCGCCCTTAGATCATCCATGATCCCATCATATCCCGTCTCCTCCCCACCTCCCCATCTTCTATCCATCTGGGGCCAGTAACTCCACCATTGGCTTCCTTGTACTTCTCCTCCCACTCGGTCACCATGTCGCAAATCTCTTGGTTGTAAACATCCGACTGAGAGATGCAGCGCTTGTACTTCGAGTCCCAGAAGGGGCGATGGGCCTGCAAGCACGTCACTCGTTTCGGACACCAGGCGGCAGGTGGTGGCATCTGGCGTGACCATGTAGCCATGTGTGCGGTGAGTTGTTCCTTTGCTAAGCCGAAGCAGCTATATAGATAGCACTATAGATCCATTATGTTCCATCAACATCCATCAACAGCAATCAAGTTTCATTTCCGAGAGTGACCATAGGCGACCTGGGAAATCCTGAGGTATCTGCGAGTCCTTCCGAACAGTTCTTCACTTCGTTGATCTGCTTCGTCCTTCCTGGTGGATCTCTGCGAGTCCCTCCAGGAAGGCCTCTCTGGTCCTCTGGAGGACCCCCGGTAACAGCAGTCGCAAGAAAAAGAACATATGAAGAAGAGGTTAGTTCGATCCCAAGGGGGTCTTAATCAACGGTCACCTATATATCTGATGAGAACTTTGCCCGGAGCCGATGTTGCCCAAACCAGCGGCCTTGGCCACAAAATCCCAGCAGCACTCCACGACCATTGGCTCAAAGCCCACCTCTGGCACCCGAGCTGTTCAGCTCTGTTGCGGCATGACCGAGCACCAGGCCAAAAGGCTAAGGTTTAGGTGGCCAAGTTGGCCCAAGGGAGAGCATCATCCCTAGGGCTCCTGGCCCATATCCTGAGAAGGTGGTTAGACCCCCCTGGCACCCACTCTATAGTGGCTAGAGCCTTCTCAGGAGGTAGGAGCCCTAGCCCAGGGCATCATCATAATTTCCTTCTTTGACCACTTTTGACGGTGTGTTTGTGCACCTGGTGCCCTATCCTCCTCCAGCTTCTCTTTCAGTGGAAGCCGATGAAGTCTGATTGCACGAGAACCCTTGCAGTTCGGCACCCCGACATGGACTCCTGGACGTGGTTCGGCCACCTGAAACACACTCTGAAACACCTGACCTCACCTGTGAGAACCACCGATCTGATCCTGCCTGGCCGTCCGTGAGGAAACACATGGCTTCACCTGTGGCCGTGTCGAGTCGAAGGAATCGACGAAAACAAAGCGACAGGGTCACCCGTCTTCGAGAGGATCCGCCCATCTGTAAAGGAGTTACTTTGGATGACTCACCCTGCCTGCCTGCCTGCCTGCCTGCCTGCCCGGGTTGCAAAACAAGGACCTGCACCAGCCAGTGCCACACAAAAATGTTCATTTGGTGGGTTTGAAGCCTACTTTCTCGCAGATTTGATTGTAATCTAGTCAGTTGTAGGCCGTCAAGGGGTACTCGCCCAAGTGGGGGGGTGTTACCTTGGAACCTTGGTGGTTGGGCTTGCTTTCTCCTTACGAAGATGAACAGGTGGAACAAAACAGCTGTGGTAACTCAAGAACACTAAGGGCGCAAGGATACAGCATACAAATAGATTGTGAAATGTTCAGCATTTTGGGTTCACAGTGTCCGGAATTATCCCCCGCCTCAAGCAAATGGATAGCAATGATGATGCTGATAATACATGCTTGTTCAACCTCTCTGTAACAATCGTGCTCAAATTGGGTGAAAACGATTTGACAACCTAGTTATGACATGTTATGACTGCACGTTGGTAGATGCTTTAGGCTCGGTGCCTGACCCTCCCAATTCTCTCTCTGGGAGCAGTCTCGTCACTGTACAGCCGCCAATCACGCATGATCTCCGGCACCGTCTCCTCAAACGCATGCCATGGCTGAGCTCGGCAAAACTCCATGGTAGAAAAATAGAACATCCAGCAGCATCCAGCAGGTTTCAATTCAATTTTTTGTGTTTTTGGCCGAGCATTTGTATCCAAACATCCTTGACCCTGGCAAGTTTGAATTCAATTTTGTGTTTGGTTACCACTTCTCAACTGTGGGATCCACTCCAACCGGAGTTTAAAGCACTGAAGCAACACTCTTGACGTTTCAAACGACGGCACCGTACGTCTCCTGATCTCAGTCCTGGAAGATGCTCTAGGTCCTTTAGGTGGGGTTTGGAGGTTCAGCCCTCCTGTCTGAAGATGTAGATTGGAACCCTGGAGACCTGTTACGACTTGGGTGCACAGAGACCCCAGCAAAAAAATGGCCTTTTCCAAACAGCCTCTGGCTCTGGTTGCGAGCTCCCTCCTCGCTGCTTCAGCACCCCTAAGGTCACAAAAAATAATGATATGTGCCTTCTCTGCCGAGAGACGTTCTTCAGGACGTTTTCATCCCACGTGGTGATCCCCGCGTCCAACGTGGTCTTTTCGTCGTCCACCACCGCTTTCAAATGGGAATTCCTTCGCAAAAAGGGCACGTGGCGGCCCCACACGTCGCAAAGGCACGCGGCTGTGTGGGGACCGAAGCACTGGTCGAATTCCAAGACGAAGAAAGGCCATGGACGGCCGGATTTCAACGAGGAGTCCGGGCCCCCAGGCAGCATCCACAGCGGCCAATTGGTCAGCCGTCTGTAGTGTCAGGACAGAGTCTGAACGGTAACCGTAAGTGGTAGCACAGTGGTTGAATCTTGTTGATAAATAAACCTTTGCCTTGGCAAGAGGATGGTCCTCATGTGCGGCAACCGTAGGGAAATCACAAGCGGTCAAACGCTCAAGCATGAGGTAATTTGACTGAAAATGAAGATCTATGCAATGTCCCTCTTTGAATGCTCTTTCATCTAGATATCCATGTCAGTCTTGAAACTACGGTGTGCGACGCGCGAGTGCCTGCGACGGTCTACGATCGATGTGACGACTGCGATCCTCGAAACGTCTTGTTCGACCAGGACACTTGATGAGCAAAATGGCCACTTTGCCAACCTAAGGCTGAAGGAGCGCAGGCGTGGGGGCACAGGGTCCACATGCGGCAACGTTTGATTAATCAAGCCCCCATGTGGAGATGTAACACCATCCTGGGGAGGTGATTCATCAACAGTCAACATGTGTTCAAAAAAACTGGACCGCAATTGGATAGAAGCCTTGCGTGCGTAAACTCCAAATCGCAAGTTTGGCCATTTGCAGCTACAGGGGGTCGTCACTTCAACCTCCGTCCTAACATGCATCCACTAAGTTGATACGTGTTGCTGAAGCATGAAATCAGTGCCTCAATGCTTTCAACACATACCATTGGCAATTTTACTTGTTTAAGCTCCTCTTCAACTTCACCATCGGTTTTCAGTCTTCGGTTCTTTCTCCCGGTTCACCAGTTCGCTCTAGATGTAGATTCTCCACAGTCAAACTCTGCACAGGCACCCCTGACGGTCTCCCCAATGACCAACCCAAGTAACTAGAACAACGGTTAACCTTTCTTTTTCATGACTACATTTGATTGATCAACCATGATCAATCCCACTATCATCCACTATCCTGGTTGTCCATTTCTTGGCGGACCGGGCTTAACCACTATCAGCATGGCCAAGCAGGATGGCCCGAATCCCACGATCCCAGCCGACCCAGATCTCCCAGGCACGAACTTGGGTGTCTTTCCACTGAAGCGCCACTGGAGGGCATACCATAAGGCGAGCAAATCCCCCGCGTCCTGGCCCGGAGTGGAGCGGGGGGTAGGATGGTCAAGATCAGAAGTAGAATTGGAAAAGGAACCATTCATCCACTAGCACCTGGTTGAAGAATCACGCCATGCACGATATGCTGCTCTTGTGGCCGGTCGGAAGAAATCGTCCAAACATCAGATCAGCAGAGCTCATTGGCCGACTCATGACTCATGTGTGTGAGACTGTTCACCTCATTGGCCACGTTTAAGACTTGCCATCTTTGTCCAAGGTGTTTGTCTGTCCTCCAAATGTGGCTCCAACGAAGTAGGAAAAACAACACGTGGCAACGACCATTTCAATCATCTAAGTTGCCGTTAACACCAAGCAAGTGAACCTGGGATTCCACTTCTATGCGTTTGGGTGTTGGAAACCCAGTGTTGCCCTGACATGTGACATGCACCCTTCCCGAGATAACGGAACGTTTCTTCCAAGTTGGATCAACCGATCAGCATCGGGATGGGCTGCCGAGGGTCATAAGGGTCTGGCGCTTTGTGGAGCTTCAAATACCTGTCGCTCGCCGCGTTTGGGGGCTCCGAAACCTGGTTTTTGGACCGTCCTGCGCGGCGTTTGGCTTGGGTTTGGTGGGACCACATGAACAAAGCACGACTTCAGCACGTGGCGCATGCATAATGGCCAACTAGTGGTTGCGTTCCTCTTCGGTTCCTCCCGGGCCAGTTGGGCTGGCTGGCGGCTACCAGCCGTAAGAAGTTCGCCCACCTGTCGTGGGAATGTGCCCACCTGTTGTTGAATCCAAGTCTGTCGTGGCCTCCGAAGGCCCAAAGATCCAAAAGGGACGTTGCTTGCGGGGCGAACCCAATGATGACCCACACATGCGAGACAGGGGGAACTCACCAGAGTTCCAACTGTGGTAAAAAAGACTTAGACCATTAGACATCGTTAGACCTTAGAAACTTTGGCATTGACATTCTCAGGAGGTTGGGCTGAGCCCATGCGGCAATCTAGAGAACTGGTGTCCAGACGTCGATCAAACCAAGGCACTTGTCCAAGAGCGCGAAGGCTTTCCTGGACAACTTCGCGGATGTTCCACATGACATCACATGACTCCCATGCTTTGGATGTCAGCACGAATGCGACAAAGATTGCGAAGAAGACACCGTGAAGGGGTCAGGAAGTGTCATAAATATGGACTGACGATGCTAAGTCGCTAAGTCTCCGTGCGCGTCTACATCAAATGTCCCCTGTGGGGAACTATTCAAGGCTGTTATCATTGATATCACTGACAACGTGCAACAAGCAAATCTGCGATGCTTCATGCAGTTGCAATGTCCAAACTTTGCAGTTGTCCGTGGTGCAGGGGGCCGTGAAGAGAAAGATCACACGCAAAACTTGAAACGCTTGGACATGAACTCCGAAGGGTTCGGAAACGACATCCACAGGGTTCGGACATGAAATCCAAAGGGTTTATATAGACCTTTGAGAATGCACAGGTTCTTTTTGAATGAAATCGCACGGGTCTGGACATGACATCTCAAACCCAATCGAAAACAAATCCGGTTTGGAAAAGAAACCCCCTCTCTCTGACAAAGGTTGGACCCCACATTTCTTTCGGCTTTCTTGGATCGGGTTCGCATCTGACGCCAAGCATCTCATCCAAGCCTGCAGCCAGGCAGCCTCTGGTGACCCGTAGCACCAGGTTGCCCCAGCTCTTTGACTGGCCGGAGGATCAATGTGAAACTTCTAGTCTAGAGCGGGAGGGCATGGGAAAGGAACGCCATGTTGCTCATGTCTTGTTGCTCCAGCGATCATCTTCGCACCAAAGAAGCAACCCCCGAGCACCGACTCCATCGGACTGGACGACTCCCTCGGCCGACGCCGCCTCCAGAGGAGGGCGGGCCCCGCGCATCCCGCATCTTGGCGGGGTGAAACTCGTCCCGACACGCAGATCCCGCACGGGTAAACCCGACGCCCCGGAACCACGAACCCAAGCAACGCCCAGAGTCCGACGGAATGAAAGCAACGGTTCTTTTGTTTATGGTAGTATAGATTAAAAGCCCTCCCCAAGATGCCCGCCAGGTGCTAGCAAAGTTATATTATGGTGAATTCATGGCAAGTGGCCACAATACCAGGCCTGGGGTGACCGGTGTCTTCTTTCTCTTTTAAGACTCTTTCAACTTTTAAGTCTATCCCACTCTGTCAGGTGAACACCTATGAAAACCTGGTGCTTGCTGATTCTGGGTTGGCATCGAGATAGCAAAAACTACTACAATATGCTAAGGATCCCGAGGCCAAGCTTACCTGGAAGGCTACCAACTCCCGTTCATCTACGTCTTTACTCCTGTGAGAACTCCGGGCTGAAATCCCGGGATCTGCCACAACCGGGTGACGCCGTTTGGGCTACCGCCTCGCCATCGATCAAGTCCAGGAGCTGCTCCGCCTGCGACTCGGGGGGCGCTTCTGCAAAGTCGGGACAGGCCATCTTCCAAAAGGCCTGGCAAGATCGATTGTGCCGATGTGGGGACGAGGGCGAGATCGAATGCGGCGAATGGTCGTGATTGAAACGTCATGATCAAACAAGGCTCTAAATAGAAATACAGTATAGATCGAAATAGTACATTAATTGACATTAAACGGTATCTGATTGATCTCAAAAAAGGCAAGACATGGCAAGACCATAATAAACTTCGGTGAAAGCAACACACACACACAAAAAAAAAGAAGGGGGAAAAAACATGTCTGAAGTCATTACAGCATGTAGGAACAAGTGCCGGGTACGAGATGCTTACTTTTTCAAGCACACTGGCGAAAACCTCACATCGACGAGAAAAACAATCGCACTGAGTCTTATTTTTGGTGATCCTTCGTGGTTTTGGGTCTCCAAAGCTCGAGAAGGCCAGCCTCAGAGGCCTCTGCCTTCCTCAGTCAGCACCCAGGAAAGGAGCAGAATGGTGAAAGCTCATCCCCGGCAGGGCCCAAGCTACTACCCTTGCTAGTTCTACCAAGGCTGACGACCATCGACACAAACATGAACACCAACGCCCACCACAAGAGCAAACACCCACACATCAATGCCCAACTTGCCGGGTGTCATGTATGCTTTGTTCAAACTTCTAGGATCATCCAATGCCCCCTGGGAAAAAATGAAAAATACACGACTTAAAACAACCCAAGTGCACACTGAACAACCCCTGCCGCCCAGGCGTCTTGGGATGATTCGCCAAAAAGCCCGACGCTGTGGCAGCAGACCACTTCGCCACCTCCATGCTCCGGCACAGCAGTGCCACCACTTCCTCCACATCCTCACGCTGTCCGTACTTCCCGTGATGGAGGCATCGCGGGTATTTTGAAGGGGGTGAAGAGTGCGAGGGAAGGCGGAAGAGGAAGTGTGGTGAAATAGAAACAAATACATCAAACCTCTTGGAGCACCCACAATGCCAATAGACCACTCCTTCAAACCACTGAAATATCAAAAAATAGCAGCCAACGTCAAAATTGGACCTGGGCTGTTGGAGGCAGCCCTGAAAGCAACATTATATATACGCCACTGTTCAAGGAAAGTATACAGTACAGTATACATCTTCCATCATGTTCCCCATGCACAAGCACGCAGAACATCGTGGAGGAACTTTGTGTTTTGCATCTGCGGGATGCCAGCTGTTGGAGTTGGAGAAACTTCCTCGCCTGACGGGGGAATGGAACGGTGATCGAAGTGAGGGCGAGAGGAGCGCCAAAACCTCTGGCTCCGCCTCTGAACATCTCCAAGCCACCCTGCTAGTAACAAGGGCATCGCTACCAGCTAACAAGTGCATGACTACTAGTACCAAGCGCATGACTACCCTGGTCCATCGGAGCGTTTCGGCGACTCCGGTGACTCCACGGATGCGAAGGAAGTCCTTGGGACTGTCTTGCGTGTGCGCAATGGCGCCCACCCCGATGCGGATGCAGTTCTGGTAGTTGGCCTCCTGGTGTGAGACATGTGTCAGACCAGGTGTGAGACCACCCCACCAACGTCACGCTGCACTCCCATGAACTCCCAAACGGGGGAAAGAACATGGAAGAAGCTTGGGTACGTCCCATTCCCTGCAACCTGGATGATGATGGTTACATAAAGTTATATAGGTACAAGATGGTACCAGCATGTACCAGGCCTTTCTCTAAACGAGTGACAATCGTTGACTGACTGTTACAGGTATGCGGTTTCTTGGGACACCTCCAAGAAGTGCCCGGATCCCCCAAGAAGTGTTTCAGCCCGTGGTTCCCTTCCAAGCAGACCCAGGTGTTCAAACGAGGGCCTTCGGCTGACCAGTTCGCGGACTTCGAGTTCGGGGGGGGGCACCCGGGGTCCTGGGAAGTCTTGGTAAGTCCTGGTACTCACAAATCACCCAAGGATGGATTCTGATGGGAATTTGGTCAGTAGATGTCAGTAGCCTAGACTCTAGACCTTCATGATTTCATGCTGTCGTTGTACAAATGTGACCTGCAATTGGTCGACCAGGTGCGCTGGCACAAACCCCACTAGTCAAGGGCAGACCGATCAAACCTCTTGTTGACCTTGATGGCCTTGAAGCGGGGATGTTGATTAATCATGATTAATCCTACATTGTACGTCGACATTGCGTTCACCACATTTAGCATCCGGCTTCCTCGATCCAAGTCGACGTTTAAGGTCTTAAGGCGAGAACATCACCTCCTCGCAACACTACTCGCAACAAGCGCTGCCAAGCAGCTCCAAGCGCTGCCAGCGCGCCGGCGCTACTTTGGGAGCTCACATGAGGATAGATTTCATTCCACTTCTGTTCGGTGTAGTTTTCAAAGAACCTGGGTCCAATTACGCAAGCCGGCCACTTGCCAAGATGTTTGGTCCTCTCCTCGCTCCATGTGATAGATTCGCAACAATGAAACTCTTGGGATCTCTTGGGATCAAACCTTAACTGCTGGTATGAGGTCCAATTTGCCTTCTTGATACTGCTGCACAGGACTTTGCAAAGACATGTTCCAACCCCGGCATTTGGACGCATTTCGTGAAACGGTCGCGGCCGGCATCTCTGCCCAACTCTTCCACAGTGCAAGTTGGGAAGCCCGAAAGGCTATATGAGCTTGCCTCAAAACATGTCAAAACGATTTGTACCAAGCCCACCATCTGCACAAACATCCCACTTAAACCTAAATATGACGATAGTTTTGCCTCTGTCTCACATGATCTCATGTGAAAGGCTCACCACCTTGCGGTCGAGCCGCTTGTGGTGTTCCTTGACGTACTCCTCGCGCTCTAAAGGCGGGGCTTCCGGCAGACCTTCCGCCACCTTGGCCACTGAAGCACCGGTGCCCATGGCGGCGTAACCGGGTTCACGCTGGGCGACCGTCTTCGGCTGATCCAGAAATGGCCACAGCGGTGCTGGAAGCTGGTGGTCGGTGCTCCGCTCCGCGGAGCGCGACCGGAGGGAGTATGTGAAGGGCTGACGTATCCATATGTGGTTTTTTTCGATCTACTGCGTATAGGCTCCGTAGTAAAAGTTCTACAGTTCTACCCCAAGGGCCTTGGGGCTCAAGGCTCCCAGGGATTCCGTTGAAAAGACCCTGGGAGCCCCAGAAATCGCTAGAATGACAAGTGTAATCCCACATCATCGGCCCAATCAATTCCTTTCACCCGAGCCGCTAGCGTAGGCCCGATGCACGGCACTGGCGCCCGAAGCGGAAAGGCTGTGCCATTCCTGCAGGCAACCTGGCACTGGTGTTGGATGACCCAGATTGATCACTCAAACAGATGGTGACCTCCACTGATCTCCCAGGAAAATTCATCTCAAATCCTTATATATTTACTCAGTATAGGCCTAGGCAAAGAAAATTATGGTTAGACATTTATGTGTTTGTTTTGTGTATTCGGGATAATAATGTTGTGACTTTATCAGAGTTTGACTTTGTTCTTGCTGATCCCATTGAGAGAACCACTTGTCCAAGCAGTGGAGGGGTCCTCCGCCCGATGAACCAAAGAATACCTGGGCGTGTGATAAGATGTCATGAGCCTGCTTCGGGAAATAGACCTGTCATGAAAGGTGTCTACCCAGCCAGGGCCAGGGGGTAGGTGGAGTGCTAGATAGATAAACACTCATCTATATATATATATATAATACCCTCTCCCTTAGGGGAGGGGTACCGTGGTAGACGTACCAAAATAATAAGAGTATTATTGTGACTACCTCGTGTAATTAATGTACAAATTATTTTAGGTGGGGGGAGGCTGCAGCAAAATAATATTGCATATATATTTTTATTATTTGAAAAAAGAGGTGGGTAGGGGTATCTCTGTGAGATTTTTGCTTGAGAATGTTGAATTCCAGATTTATTTCATGAGTATGTCAGCTTCTCTCAAGCAGCAAAATAATATCAGCCCTTTTTCTCTCGCAATCGGAGCAATCACGTGTGGGTACGCTACAGCTGAGGTCAAACTTTGTCAGACGCCAACCCAAAAGCGTCCATGGAACAGGAAACAAAGTCTTAAACTGCAATTGCCGCAACGCTGCACAGTGACTCCATCTAAGTCATTCACTAAGTCATCCTACATCATCCTACATTCATGATCCTTGTGACCATTCTTGATGCCAATGAAAATATCCCGTACTATTTCGGGACCTTGACAGAAATGGCTTTGGGAGCCAAGTAGTTTAGCTGGCCCAACCATTTCATAAATTTGGAGGGGCAGTCAGTCGCACGAGGAGACGCTGCTTGAAGGTCCAAGAGAACCAACTTCCCAATCCTGGAATACAGTGAGAGACAACTGATTCAGATTGAAAAAAATTGAAAAATACAAAAAAATGGAAATTGGCTTTGAGCTAAGAATAGACAAGGTACGGAGTATTCTTCTGGTCAGGAGTCAGGTTCTTCTTGTCGAAACGTGAAACATAGTAGCCCGGTAGGCGGGTGAGCAACTCTTCCCAAGCCACGCGTTCGCTTTTTCCGCTCGGGCTGCGGACTTTGACATGCTTCTCGCTGTCCAGGATCTTGAAATGCAGGACCTGAAAGTCATCCAGCATTGCTCTGGCATAGCGTGTGATGTTTGCCCGCCCTGCAACTGTGGTTGGCTTGAGGTCGGCTTCAGACAAGTAGGAGACTTGACTGCACGGCTGAGCTTTTGCTGAGAATGCTGTGCCTGCCTTGCATGCTTGATGGAATGCCTGCACTGCAGCTTCTCCAATCTCAAACTTGGCCTGCCAGCGCTTGATAATAGGAGTGCAAAACAAACAGCGCAACAGCGCGAACAGAGCCACCCCGAAAAAAACAATAAAACAAATATAAAAAGTGTAAAAAAATACAGTAATAATCTATTGGATCAGAGCCAGAGCCACATGATTCCTGGTTGTGGAAACCACAAAGTCTTTTCTGGACACTTCATATAGGATCGAACCATCCTTCGAATCGAGCATCATGACAGGAGAGGCAGACCTGAATATTCTTTGTTTGCAAATAAAAAAAGATGAAAAAATTACTGCAAACGCAATTACAAAACCAAATCAGAACAAATGCGCAATGCGTACAAATTTGCCAAGCTACGTTGCAACCACAGTGAGAGATTTGCCATCCACATCACCAAAAGGTTGAAGCAACTGCACATGGACCATTGAGACAAGGTGCGCTGACAAACCATGCATAAAGATCTTTTGGCCTTGGCCATTTGTCTTTTTCTTTCCCTTCCCGGCACGCCACACACCAATTGGAGTGGCGAAGCGCAATCCTCCACATGTCTTGCTGCCAGTCGACAATGGACGGACAACCAAAAGCTGATACAGCCTGTCTTTGGAATCTGACTTCTCATCTGCAACAGGTGGCTGGAACCGTGTAGGAACCAATGCGCTTTCTGCTGCCTTTTCAGACTTCACTGCCAGTGAGAGCTCATGGATGTCCTGACACACTCTCTGGGAAAAGGAAGTCCACAAGTTGTGCCGCGACTGCCTCATACTGGAGCAGGTGAAGGCTGCTCGAGCCTTTGCAAGCTCGTGCATGTAGATGTTGTGTTGGTTTTTCTTCCTCTTCATTCCCAACACACTGGCCCTGGTCAGAATGTGTTCATTGACCCGGACATATGCCACGAAGCTTTGGATAGGTTTGGTGAGTGCTCGGAGTCGTAGTAGTGCTCGCGCTTCATGATCATCCTGCTCAGGTTTGAATTCAAGCATATCTGCATTCTCCAAAATGTGCTGAAGCGTGCGAATCTCTCCATAGGCCACAGGCCAATTGGATGGCTTGTGCTCTTCAATCTCTGACTCCTCATCTGAGCTTGCATTCTCTTCATTCTCTGGCTTTTCCGGTTCTCCAAGGTAGGTGGTATCAGACTGCATTTTCTTGTGCTCGTCTGTGATCAAAAGTCCTTTCTCGGTGCACCCTGCAGCCTGCAAAAGGTTGGAGGCTTCCTCTTTGGCAACATCTGTGGTTGCCTCCTCCTGCTCGTCTTCACTGTCGCTCTCTGCATCTCCACCCATGCCAAAATCCACGTCTGGGCCAAACAGCATGTCTTTTCCAATCTCAGAAAACCAATTCTCCAAAGAGGATTGAATAGAGGATGCTGTTGTGCCAACCTTGCACACACTTGCCAATTGACATGCCAATTTCAGAGCGTCTTTGCTTACAGCAGCCATCTCCACAGGATTATCCAGGACTCTGGTCGACACATCCTCAGATCAAGGCATCCCTCAAATTATTTCACACCTGATCAGGCCTGGAGCACCTCTAAAATAAATATATTTCCCTTTCGGAAATCATCCGACTACCAGGATCACCAAATTATTTTGGGGGTAGGGGGGGTGGGGACTACCATCTAAATTGGATGGACTCCCCACATATAAAGAATACAATCAGCTGAATACACAATTATTTAAGGGGTACGGGGGGACTGGTGTACCATCTGAATAAGATAACCATTGGTTGTTTATAAAGATCTTTAAATATGATTAAATAGTAGTGCTAGGAAACCCCCGGGAAAACAACAATTGAAGTTTCTCAAACAAATTAATTCAGGGGTAGGTCGGTCAAACACCAGCACTGGCATAATATCTGGAAAGCAAACAATTTATCAATAAAACAAATGTCCAATCTAAACACTAAATTATTGCAGGGGTGGCGGGGGCTTGGGAACCAATACAATAATTGTTCACTCACCAGGGATCCCCAGGGTATAGACACAATACAGTGGAACAAAAAGACTAACAATCAAGGAACTTTTTTGGGCTGGCGTTGTTGGCGATTGTGCAGCAGTTGGATTGCCTGGATCCCTGTCGCCACTGTAGTGGTGCCTGTTTCCTTCTTGATCGTTTTCATCTGTCCGAAAAACGATTCGATGGCGTCTTCCATCGAATACATTGGTTCGAAGACCATACCCGATGGAAACGAGGCCAGGCGAAGAGCCAAGTGAGCACACATGGACCTTGCATGAAGTCAAGAGAAAAAAACATGTGGCTGACATTGGCTGACGCTAGAAAATAATAGAAACTATACACAAAAAGTCTCAAACTGCATGAGAGAAGCAGCACATTGAGCGCAGTGGGCTTGGGTACAAAATACTTTGGCCAATCGTTTCCGGCTTGGCTGTGAGCGTCATAGATCAACAGCAAAGTGAGGTAGTACCCAACCATGCAGTTCTCTGCCAGCTCCCTTGGACAGAAGCACTTTGAAGCCAGCCATGTTCCATGTGTGATGCTTTGCCAAAGCCTCAGAAGAAGCTAGAGATAGCTAGAGAGGGATCTAGGATGATCTAGATTCTGGGAGGACTGGTGACATATGGTGACATGCTATGCATTCAAAATTTGTAAAAGAACTGCCAAGAAACATGAAGAGGTTGAGGCCCAAATCGTCCCAACGGCTCTGCCACATACTTCGGGTTCATCATGCCACTGGCTGCTTTGTCACTCTGCATATCTTTCCCGACAATGTACTGGTTGGGGCAGCCGTTGTGCTTTAAGCATGAAAGCGAGATGTGGAAGTTGAAGAACTTGGCTACCCTGGATCCACTTCGCACAGCACGGGCCACAGCCTTCGCCACATGTTTAGGATCGTTGACTCCATAGAAGGGTTGTTGCCCTTTCCATAGCAACACCTGTCCAGCAAGAAACAATACTACGACTGTATATGACTGTATATATTTTAAACAAATACTTACTTTAAAATCTTTACTATCTTTCACTGTCGTTGTTCGCCAGTTTGCCAAGGCACTCGGAAAGGAAACATGGGTATGCTCAGCTTGTCCCCCTGTGTGCAGTCCCTTAAAACAAGTCAGTTGTGCTCAATGTCTTGCTCATCAACACACGCACAAAGTGCAGCGAAACCATAAAACAATAGAAAATATATTAGTAATCAATTCCAGCCAAATGTCTTCCAAAATGGTGCATCTTGCATCTCCGATTGCGGCAAGATACCCAGCAAACAACGATTGATCATCGAATATGAGCGGTGGTTGTCCATCGACATGGAAATCGGTGGTGCTCCATGGTTTGCTTCGATGCCTTGGAAACACAATGATATATTACAGACAGTATGGTGCACAGTTGCACATTCCATCAAGTGCCCCTCACAGCATCACAGTGTGTAAAAATGACTTGGACAGGCAAGGTGCAACTTGCAATGACCTCACCCATGTATCTG